CATGTATGTATGTGTGTGTGTATGTATGTATGTATGTATGTATGTATGTATGTATGTATGTATGTATGTAAGTTTCAATGCGTTTTCAAGTTTCCATTCGTTCAGAGATATGAAGATGAGACACACACACACACACACACACACACACACACACACACACACTCACGCAGTATATAATCAGTCTTAACCTCGCAGCCAACACCAATATGAGCGTCACTCACCGTCACTTAAGAGTCCTTCAGTGAGTGACAGTTTAGTGCCACTCTCTGTAAACAAGCGCTTAACATATTCAAGGGGAAGGTGTGTAAATTACGAGTTATAGTGAGTGAGTGGGTGGGTGAGTGAGTGGGTGAGTGGGTGAGTGAGTGAGTGAGTGAGTGAGTGACACAAGGAGTACAGAGGCTCCACCATCTGACTCACTCACTCACTCACTACTCCAAGTGGACAACCAACAGGGCATCCCAAGTGAACAGACTCTCCCTTACCCATCTCCCTTAACTCCCCCCCCTCTCCCTTTCTCCATTCCCCCTCACCCTCCCCTCCTTTTGCCTCTTCCTCCTCGTTACCCCCTTTCCTCATCCTTACTCACCCCTTCCCTTTATCCCCACACCTACCTCTCTCCGTCACCCCTCCGTCACCCCTCCGTCACCCCCTCCGTCACCCCTCCGTCACCCCCCCCCCCGCCACACCTGCACACCTTTTTCCCTCGTTGTGATATATGGTGACATTTTGAGGTCAGTAATAACTCATTACTGGGGTAATGGATGGCTCGCTCCAGATGTGTCCCTCAGCCTCCTACCTCCCTCCCTCCCCCCTCTCCCTCCCTCTCTCCTCCCTCCCCTCCCCCCCTCCGTCCCTCACTGGCATCTCTGACGGGAGGAAGAGGGAAGGGGGTGGTGGTCTGGGGAGGGGTGAGGTGGTGATGGATAGGTGGGACTTGGGATGGGAAGTGAGTGTATCCACTCAACCACAGCACCCTCTCCCCCTCACCCTCTCCTCCTCCCACCCTCTCCCTCCTCCACCCAGCCACAGCAATGCACCTTCCTCCCACCAGTTCCCCCCCCATCACTACTGAAGCACCTGTAAACAATGTGAACCACGTCAATTAATGTCCCGCTCGTTGTTGTTACCTCAGCTGATATCAGGACCATCTTGTGGTTCTCTTACTTATGTTCAGATCTCTCTCTCTCTCTCTCTGCCTCTCTCTCTCTCTCTCTCTCTCTCTCTCTCTCTCTCCCTCTCTCTCTCTCTCTCTCTCTCTCTCTCTCTTGAGGACGATGGTTTAACAAATTAATTTACCTTCGAGGGCGATGGTGGTTTAACCCCTTTGGGGATGGTTTAACCCCGTGAGGACGATGGTTTAAGCTATTAAGAGTTGTGGTGGTAGTGATTGTGGTAGTGATAGTGGTAACAAGAAAGGAGGGGTAATCATTAAATTGGAAGGAGAAGAAGGAGGAGGAGGAGGAAGAGAAGGGAGAGAAGAAAATAGATAAAGTTAAATCAAAGGTTGAGGGAAAACCTAAGAGAAACGCCAAGCATTCCGCGACCCGCAGCAACTTTACGAGGCCAGACCCTGCACCCCCCCCCCCAGCACACACGTTTGACAGGGCGACCTAACGTTATCTTTACTATCCCTCAAGATCTACCTGTAATTTATGTGGGTCAGATACGCTTTGATTTTACTATATTTTTAACCTTATTTTTGTTTTTTTGTATTTTTTTTTGGTGTTAATGTTTTGACGTACGTGGTGGTGGTGGTGTCAAATGCCGAAATCCTCAACGACAAATTGGCGACGGAGGAAGGAGCTGACACACACACACACACACACACACACACACACACACACACAGCCTGAGGCATTTTCAACAGTGATGGTCCCACCCTCGTCTGTATAAGTTTATGGTCTCTGGGAGTAGTTCACGTACTGCTAACAACCAATAGTTCTGAAGAGAGAGATCGACGAAAATCCGGGAAAAAGCGAGAAATAAAGTGAAGATTTAAAGACCTCTGCCCCAACATCGTCTACCAATAGGTCTTCGCTGATAACCACAGTACGCCTTAATCACCCAAAGGTCTAACAACAACACGACTCTTAACTACCACAACTACCACCATGAATAAAGACCATTAAAGAAGAAGTGGTGGAGAAGAGGAAGAGGGGGAAGTTGAAAATGAAGAAGAAGAGGAGGAGGAAGAGGAAGATCAGGGAGATGATTCAAAGGGAGTGGAAGGTAGAGAGTCTTCAAGGTGCATAATCATTAAGAAAGACTTGAGTACCAACCAACCAACCGACCTCCTCCTCCTCCTCCTCTTGCTCTTCTTTTTTCTCCTCTTCTTCTTTTCCCCTCCCTCCCTCTTCTACTACTTCTTTTCCCTCCTCCTCCTCTTCCTTCCTCCTGTTTCACTCCTGGAGGTGGACTAAGCGGCTTCAGGTCTCATTAAGGGCGGTCATAAAGCGCCCATAAGAGGCGGTATGGCTGTGTAAGAGGCGGCGGCGGCAGTCCACAAGTTAAAGAAGGTGGAAGAGAGGTGGCAGGGGAGGTGCAGGAGGAAGAGAGGAGGAAGGGGAGGTGCAGGAGGAAGAGAGATGGAGGAGGAGGAGGAGGAAGAGATGAAGTAACCGGATACACGAGACCACGATTATAAGGTGTTAGGTCTCGATAGTGCAGCAGAGGACGACCGCGAGGACAAACTGTGTGATCGAGACCTTTGTTGGTGTATTGAGAGAGAGGGGGGAGAGGCAGGGAGGAAATAGATAGAGAGAGAGAAGGAATAAGGGAGAGAGAGAGAGAGAGAGGAGGAATGAAGAGTAGAGAAATTATGAGACAGACAGACAGACAGACTCAAAACGTTACCCTAAAATCACCATAATATAAACCTGAACTACAAACGAAAACACAGTTATAAAATACAACAAAAACATTTACGTAATTAGTGACACGTTATTCAGTACTAAAGTTTCGGCGACGGAAAAAAAATAATAACAAAAAAAAAGTTGATGATTTACATATACTGGAGCCGTGGGAAAGGTATTTTAAACCCGGGTTACAATCGGGTATTTTCTCTTTTACTTAAACGGGAATTAAAAATCAATGACGCTTTTTTCCCCCCGTTATATTTGGTATGTTTGGAGGGAAAAGACCCCACTGAGGGTTATATGAGAGCTGTGTGTGTGTGTGTGTGTGTGTGTAAGTCAGTCAGTCGTAATGGTGCCACACACACACACACACACACACCCTCACTCACTTCCCTCTCTGACACCACCTCATCTCTGCCAACACCACCATTGGCACTAACTGTTGCCAACCAACCAGTGAGTGCTAACCATTCAGGCTTGCCAACACTAGTGAATGCCAACTGAACCGTCCTGCCAACACCAGTGACACCCAACAGGCGTGCCAACACCAGTGACACCTAACAGGCCTGCCAACAATAGCGAGTGTCATCAGGGTTACCAACACATCTGAACGCCATCATCCGGAGCTACTTAACACCAGTGAAAAACCCCATTATCAAGCCTGCCAACAGTATCAGGGTTTCACCAGACTTGCCAACAGCAGGAAGTGTGACAACCACGCAGTCGTACCAACACCACCAAGTACCATAAACCAGGCAGGCGTACCAACCGCAGATCATCAAAGACTTTTAATGAACAGAAGACGTCATAATGGCGGCTTTTATCACCGAACGAATATTTGAGTCACTGATTAATCTCCTCACGCCGTTTTCTGTCTGCCAAAAGTCGAAAAATTATGACACGCGAACTAATGCTTGAGATAAGAGAGAGAGAGAGAGAGAGAGAGAGAGAGAGAGAGAGAGAGAGAGAGAGAGAGAGAATGTGTGAATAATTAACGTCGACAGATAAACGAGAAGTGGGGGAAAAAGGCAGAACACGATAATGGATGATAACAAGAAATGGAAGTAAATATGTGAATGACACCGAGAAGATGAAAGAGTCGACAGGGAAAATGGACAATAATATGAATAATGAATAAATATATACCTGAAAGAACAGATAACGCAGACTAGATACAAAAATACACGAATGACATAATAGACGATAATAAGAACAATGAATAAAAATGTACGTGAGATAGAGACGATAAATGAGAATTACAAAAAAAATGAACAGGATACTGAAAGATAGGAAGAAACAATAATAATAAATAAGTGATATAATCCAGATAAAAGAAACTTAATAAAGATAGTGAAGATAAAATATAATAGATTGGGAAGAAGGAAAGAAATAGGCAATAAACAATACTAAGGAAAATAGTTAAGAAAGGAGTAATAGGGTAAATGAATAACTGTGACGATATAAATCACTCGGCAAAGAGAGGAAGGAAGAGTGAAAAAAAAGGGAGATAAAAAAGGGTGAAGAGGGAGAACAAACGATGTAGAGTGACAGAGTAAAGGAGGGAGAGAGGGAGGAGACGTGATGGGGGGAAGGAAGGGGGGGAGGTGAGGGAGGGAAGGGACGAGAGGGTGAAGGGGAGGAGAGAGATTGGGAAAACCTCATGTTTATACACTTGCATACACGCACACACACGGACACACACACACACACACACGGACACACACCACACACACACACACACAGAGGCGTCAATGGGTCGTTCCCAATAATCTCTACACCTGGTTTGCTTAATTACCCGATGATCTCACAGGTACACTAATTATAGACTGACGATTTAAAGGGCTCAAGGTACTAACTTAACTACACCTGCTGTGACGTGTTGGTTGGATAAGAACTCGACAAACAATTAATTAATGATCTGAACAACGAAAAACTGCGCGGGACCACATTTTACCGAGCCATCCTGTGGCACAACACTTTCCTGCCTGCTTTGACCCGTGGCGTTCAAGCAGTTGTTTTGAGAATGTGTGTGTGTGTGTGTGTGTGTGTGTGTGTGTGTGTGTGTGTGTGTGTTCTATTATATCAAGGTGTACATCTGAATGTGTCACAACAACCACCACCACAACACCTGACGTATCTTACCTGCAGTACCCGTTTCGACAGCCCCGTCTTCTGCGACAGTTGCTTGAGGTCCTTGGCATCGGGGTTGTGGTTGAGGGCAAAATAAGCCTTCATGGTACGCAGTTGATGGTGCTTGAAGGAGGTTCTGATCCTCTTCGTCCTTACCGATTGGCAGGGGGTTCCTAAGGGCCCGTAGGAACCCTCTAAGTCATATCCTCCAGGGATGTCTGTAGAGGGAGAGAAAATATTATGAAACACTTGTGAATATGTGACTCAGTTCGTGTGTGTGTGTGTGTGTGTGTGTGTGTGTGTGTGTGTGTGTGTGTGTGTGTGTGTGTCCTCAATATTACAACACCTGTATACCTGTGACGGTTATAAATCAAGCAGGTGTTATGACTGTGTTTACTTATATGCTCAATCTCCAAGTAGGTTAACCTAACGAACGTGTTGTAAATGTTGTAATTTTTTATATGGTGTAAAAATTGTAAACGGGATAAATAATGAAATATGTGAAAATGAAATAAACGATAAAATTATATAAAACACACCAAAAAAAATCTGTAAACCAAATTGCCTTTCAACCTGGCAGATAATGATTTAGTTATTAAATAGCTACCTCACAGACAGACAGACAGACAGACAGACATGGGTACACTACACAATACACACAGACTTTTCATATATGTAGATTATAGCGGGGGGGGGGGAGGGGGTTAAAAAATACATAATTCAGTGGTAATTATACAGTGGTGAGTGCTGTAAAAATCGCTCTGGAGTACAGCATTACAGCAACGTCCAACTGTACCGCCACGACTACACATACAACATACACATTGCACCATACACACCATATATACATTAAATAATACACATTCATCTATACATATATATCAGTAATTTGTATAACACACTACACAACACACACACGGACAGTCACACACCTTTGAATTATGGTGTGATTATATGCCAAGTTCAATTTCAAGTTGTATTTAAAGTTTAGGTCATATTTAAGGGTAGAGTTCCATTTCAAAAGATCAAGTTCCATTTCAAAAGTTCAAGTTCCATTTCAAAAGTTCAAGTTCCATTTCAAAAGATCAAGTTCCATTTCAAAAGTTCAATGTCTACTTCTATATAAAGCTTCAATGTCAGGATCCTGTACCCCCTCTCGTTCATGATAACTAAATAACCTAAATTTCCAGGGTTATAGAGGTATATAATTCTTTCTATAATTCGTATGTCAACAAAGGTGGTCAGTGGTCTGGATATATATGATCGTGTTTATAGAGAGCGTGATGGTTGATTGGTGAACACACACACACACACACACACACACACACACACACACACACACACACACACACACACACATACATACATACATACATACATATCTTCCTTCCTGGCTGTATAAGAACTGCCTGGTGGAGGGAGAGAAGGTGTAGGAACTGCCTGATGGGGGAGACAAGGTGTAGAAATTGCCTGGTGGGGGAGAGAACGTGTAGGAACTGCCTGATGGGGAAAGAGAGAGAGAGAGAGAGAGATGATGTAGACTAGTATAGAGTAAGAACTATACCTGACGGGGTGGTAGAGTGTATAGTAGCCCCCTCCCCCCTCCTCCCTCCCTCCCCCCTGGCGGCGTCCACTAAGGTTCTCCCAGCCACCACATCACAGGGCACACACCATTCACCCCTCGGAGGCTTCAACATCAATTGTAACATCTCTTTTTCCCCGCCTGTTGAGCCGTGATCTAAAAGTCTCCCCTGGGCCCCTACTTTAAAGCCATTATAGTATCACAAATAATGGGATCTATGCACACAAAATACACTGGTTCCTTTCAGGTTGTTTCTCTTGTGTGGGCGCGGCGGGAGGGCTAGGGTGGACCAGCCCTCAATGCCCTCCCTCCCTCTCTCCCTCCACCACCACTAGCCTCTCCCCTCTCCTCCACCACCACACTCCCTACGACACACACACACACACACACCTACGACACACACACTCACACACACACACACACACACACACACACACACACACACACACACACACACATACTTTTTCTTTTTTGTGTATTTTTGTGGATTTGTGGTCATCTGTTTAACGTTCCTGAGTGATACTAATGATATATCAGGTCTGCGGAGGTGAGTGGGCGGGTGGGTGGGCAGGTGGGTGGTTGGACGGGATGACAGATTGATGGTGGGTTGCATGTAGTGAGGCTGTTATGATTGTGGGTTCGGTTGAAAATTACCAGTTGATTTTTATTACACCATCTCTCTTAGCCTGATAATATCTACCATGTCAGACACACAGACACACACACACACACACACGCACAAAGTGATGAATTATGACGAGTCGATCTTTGTAATGTTGATGTTTATTAGGTTATGTTAACAGTACTTGAGGACAATGTTTATCACAGGGTTTAAATATTTCCGTCTACCTGTAATTACAACTAATATAAACATTAACAAAGAAAATGTTGATTATAAGTCACGTAGACGATGTTATTATTATTATTATTAGTATTAGTAGTAGTAGTAGTAGTAGTAGTAGTAGTAGTAGTAATAGTAGTAGAAGTAAAAACATTCTCATTATAGTAATAGTAATAATAATAAAAAATAATAATGATAATAATAATAATAATAATAATAATAATAATAATAATAATAATAATAATAAAACCTTCCCAATATAATAATACTAATAATATAAACGGTCTTAATAATAGTAGTAACAGTAGCAGCAGCAGTAGTAGTAAAGTTTCCCACTACCGCCGGGGTACTCGTCAGCTCCTCAATGCCCTGTACAGATTTTTTGGTGACAGTGTCCCGGCGGGGTGCCAGAATGACACAGTGTAGCGCCAGACTCCCCGTGGCCTCGGCTTCTGCCTTTTCACTCTCGTTGTGACCAAGTTTTTCCCAGGGAGATGTTGAATAAAAAGTTACTCCAGACCGGTGACAATACTTCCACCCCCCCTGCCCCGCCCCACCCCAGCACCCCCACCGCCCAGCACCCCCACTCCCTCGTTACCGATTTTGCGGGTTGTGTCGTGGGGAGCTGGACTGACGGATCAACACCGCTATTAACAATGTACTAACACCATAAAAATCCTCACTAAACGATATACATTAACTGGGATCCCGATTGATGTATATAGATCATATAATTTAGTGTATTAATTATGTGTATGGATAGTTAGATGGATAGATATAGCGTGAGTTGGTTGGGAAGGAATTGTTGTGTGGTGTGGCAACTGAGGGTATTACTAATGATGTGTGAGGCTGACGGCGTGTTGTGGAAGTGACACAATTGTGGGGCGGCGACACAGGAGGCCCTTAGATGGTCCCAGCCCTTACTGTGTACAGCCCCCCAGAGCCCTTACTCCGCCCTATACTGCAGTCAACGTATTGTAATTCTCTTTGCATTGTACACGACCTTCACCCTTCACCCCCCCCCTCCCTCCCCGTGTAAACAAACCCTTGTATAAACGAAAGAAAAATTAGATACTTTGGTCATATTTGTGAGCAATGGAATAAAAATAATAAAATGAAAGATATTAATGAGTAAAACTGAGAAATAACAGAAGCAGAGGAGAGTAGAGACAGCAGGGGTAGATAGTGGGTTGTGGTCCTCAGCGAGATACAACATGTGGGAACACAGCACGATTGAAGTGGAGGGCCGTGGTCACCTACCCTCAGACATGTGGCTGGGGCTCCTTGGGTGATTGATATATTGTTTGATTGGTAGGAAGGGGACCGAGTGTGTGGTCCTGCAGTAGTACGTGAGGGGGGGGGGGTGATAATGGTAACAGGTATCGTATTAACCTCTTGAGTCCACACCTATAAATGATGATGATGATGATTATAGAAATTATAATATTTAGCGGTTTATTGGTGGTAGTAGTGACGGCTGAAAGTGATAATGGTAGTGGCAGCAGCCTTGGCAGGTCTTTGGCAGGCAGACTAGGCAGGTCTGGCAGGCTGGCTGGACAGGTCTCTGGTAGGCAGGCAGGCTGGGCAGGTCTATGGTAGGCAGGCTGGCAGGTCTTTGGCAGGCAGACTAGGCAGGTCTGGCAGGCTGGCTGGACAAGTCTCTGGTAGGCAGGCAGGCTGGGCAGGTCTGTGGCAGGCAGGCAGGCTGGGCAGGTCTCTGGCAGTAGGGCACTGATCCTCACGCCCGCGGGAAGATGAATAAGAAGATAACGTCTTTAACAAAATCTTCAAGATGAACGATAAAGCCTTCAGCCCACCGCCTTCCTCTCACCGTCTCTCACCAACATGAGAGATCTCCCTTGTGCTCGAGTCTCACACACACACACACACACACACACACACACACACACACACACACACACACACACACACACTCACACTATCTCTCCCAACGTGTCGTATAAGAGACCCCAAGACGAGAGACATTCACAGTAAAATCTCTTGAATTTGGAGTAAAAACGAGGATTTGCTGCGCTGAATCCGGATTAAGACACAGTGTGGGTACGTGACCACGGTAAAAAAAAAGTAAAAAGACCCTGAGGGGATGTCAATAAGGGTGAGCATTTAGGGTGATTGAGGGAGATTATCGCCCCTAAAGCTCCCTAAGTTAGACACTTGTCCCCTGATATTATCTCCCCCGGCGGTTAGTGTCGTCTGGAGGGGAATATTCGTCGCGGTGGAAGAAGAAGAAGAATAAAAACGAAGAAAATCGAGAGAGTGAATGAGAGAGCTTCCTATTACCGACAACATCACTAGAGTAAGACTTGCCACTGAGCTAACGGACCCGAGTGTGTGTGTGTGTGTTGTTGACAGTGTACACCTAACCTAACCCAACCCAACCTAACTCAACCTAACCTTATCTAACCTAACCTTATCTAACCTAACCCTAACCTAACCTAACCCTAACCTAACCTTATCTAACCTAACCCTAACCTAACCTTATCTAACCTAACTTAACCTAACCCTAACCTAACTCAACCTAACCTAACCCAAACCTAACCTAACTTAACCTAACCTAACTTAACCTAACCCTAACCTAACTTAACCTAACCTTATCTACCCTAACATATCCTTACGTAACCTAACCCCATCCTGATTTTCTTCTTTACTACCCCCACTAAAATAATAATTACGGTCACTAGTGTAAATAAAAAGATAACATCAGTCGTTAACGTAAATATAACTTCAAGTAAATTATTTCACATTTTTGGGGGAGGGGATTCGATCTGTCAACA